AATAATATGTCACTTGACTAACGATGTTTAAAATTTGCAGGCTGCGTCACGATACACGTTCGATCTTGTTCACCTACAGCCGTGTGCAACACCAGGAAATTCCATGAAATACCTCAACTATTCTCAAGCAATGTCTTCCGATGGCGTAGTGTCTCTCAACGGTATGGGCGACATCGGCCGGACAGCTCAGCGACTAACAGATGTAAGGGGACAGCTCAGTTTGTGTGGCTGTCGTGCGAATGTTCTATGCGTTGTAGGTGGGATGGGCTGTACAGCGCAAGAAAATTACATGAAACACCAGTGTGCATTTTCGGGCCTCACACTGTAAACAAACCAATCTGTTATCTGTGAAGAATATTTTTATAGTTACTGAAAGATTGGTCTTTGGTCTTCACTCCTAAAACGCGGCGTGGGCCTATCCAGAAAATTTACGGTGGATCCGTTGGGTGCTCATTCAGCTCGAAAGCAGTAAACGGAAGGGGAAACATCCCGGGGTGTTGTTGAACTGAGGGGTAGATCTTGAACGTTTTGTTACTTTTTCGGCTCTGGAAGCAGAACAGTTAGTCCGATCAACACGGAACTTGGTAAGGATCTTCCTTGAGGTGTGCTTCAACAACTCCGCATGGACATGGACACTAAGCTTCATCTCCTTCTGAATGGGTGCGGGGGCACATGGGGGTGTCCTGTCCACCTCCTAGGAAGGGGTTGAAGATGTTGACGTCGGGTTCGCCGCACAGATGTGTTTGAGGAGGGAAAAGACACCTTCCCTGAAATTTTTACGCCTTCACTTCAACCCTAAGGGTCCAAAATGACAAATTTTTGGAAAGGGGTTGAACTTCCTAGGGGGTAGTTTGGCCGGGGATGATCTGATTCGAAAAAAAAACACCCGGGCCGTATACAGGGGGCATCCCCACAGGATATTCAGCTGCGTTTCTCAAAACTCACCCCTTTCAGGGGATGGGGGTGACTATGGGAGGGGGTGGGTTTGTCCGATCACAATTTCGCTTAAGCCGATCGAAAGAGGACAAAAAGTTTTCAACGATTTATGAAAAATTAGGACTTTCCGAGCACTGCAAGTGGCAATTTTGAAGATGTTAAAAGCGATTTTTTACCCTCCCTTGCTGTAGGGGTTGCACAGCTCGTAAGGGGTGGCGGGTTGCTCACTCCGTGAGCCTTAAGTTGAATGATGACAGCACCGACCTACGAAATCTTAATGTCGTAGGGCGACACTCAAAACCTATAAGCACGGAGTTCGTGGAGTCTCCGTATAAACCCGTAGTTCCAGGCAGCTCCGTACAGACACGCAGTTCAGCGGGTCCCCGTATAACGTCGTAAGTGCTGGAAAGTCACTTCTGAGATATCGCGCTTCAAAGTTTTAGATTTACATTGCGCCTTATGGGCGGCTGGATTTTCAGACCAGAATTACTTTTGAACTAATTAACATATTGAAATGCGGTTTTCGCTGATCGATAGCCCTTGGTTTCTTCTATCCGACGCACTTCATAACTCGAAATTTTCAAAAAACATAGTTACGACGCTGTACGGCGGCCTGCTGAACTCCGTGTTTGTACCGAGCCCCCGGGAACTGCGTGTTTATACGGAGCCTCCACGAATTCCGTGTGTATAGGTTTCAAGTGTCGAGGGGAGAGTGGGGCACATTGGTCCGTTTTTCTTCTTTCTGCTCCTCCTAATGCTTCATGTGACGAGCCAGACATTATTTTTTTTTGCCAAGTTTTAGATTGGTCCTTCGTCTACCTCAGAAAATGGTAACAGGCCAACTCACCCCGGCCGTTTTCGTACCTACGACAACTCGCACCCTGTAATTTCGTCCCATAGAAGTTTGGCACAATGATTATTTGTACCCAGACATTTCGCACCCAAATATTTATATTTAAAAAAAAAAAATTCGTTTTCACGTCATTTTATTTTACATGATGTTGACATTGTGGCCACAGGCGCGCAAGTAATCTAGACGGCGCTCTTCCTCCTTGTAGTCCTCGTACAAGTCGGCCAGCCGCTGAAGCCTCTCGTTGATCCGCTTGTACTTCAGTCGCTGAGGTGTTTTGAGGCTGCGGCCGGCATCAATCTCGTTCAGCATGACCCGAGTGTCGGCCTCTTCTTTCTTGAACTCATCGATTATCTTGTATAGTGTGGGGTGGCTCTTCCCCACAACCCACTGAAATCGATTGTGCCAACCCTCAGTCTGGTTGTTGGTCCTCGGCTCGTTGTCTCGGGCGGCTTGGTGCTGGTTCCACAGTGCAGGCAAGTAGCGGGGTGGCCGGCGCTGGCGTCGATTGCGCGCGCGCTTCCCAAGTACGTAGGTCTCTTCGAAGTACTTGACGAAGTCTCGCATTGACCTCGGCGCCTTCCTCGACATCTTCCGTGGGAACGAAAGCGAGACCCACCACCTCACGGAATGACGTCCTCACCGTGTCATTGTTGTCATCTTGGTAGGCGGGTTGCAGGCCGAGACTTTGTATTTTGCGGAATGCTGCCTGCCGCAAGTGGAAGAGACAGAGGCGGAGCTCGGTGGCGGGGAAGAGGGCTTGGACTGCGTTCATCAGGCCTTTCTCCATGTCGGTGATGACAGTGCGTATAGTCCAGGAGTTATAGGTTTTGACCTGGGAAAAAATGAGGTAGTCGCGGAAATGACATTATTTGTTCAGAATTTCATGCTCTTTACGAAAAAAAATGTTTCAGACCAATCCCAGAATTGGAAAATTTTCTAGAGCTGTCAAAAGTCAAAAAAGCGATATTTTGACTATTTTACTGTAATTTTGATCTTGATTTTCAGCGGAGGGTCCTAGAAGTACTTTTTTAAGTCTCACTAGTTGTTTAGTGATACGGAATAGTTTACTAACAATTTTCACCATAGTGCTGTCAAATATTTTGGTAATTTTCGCTGAAAACGAATAGTTAAGAAAGATGTTGCAATCGATGAGTGTGGGCGAGTGACGGACGGTGTAGAATTTTTTTTGTGATTGTTTGGTATAGCCGTACAAAAAATTACAATAACGTGCATAGTGCTGCCGAAATTCATGCAGTTTCCACGAAAGAAACGACCGATTTGAACGATATTGCAGTGGCTACGTGCAGATGGGTGACAAGTTGCACGTCGCTTTTCGGTTGTTTGGCGTGGTGTTATGATACCGTTACACAAAACGCCCATGCCTATAGTGCTGTCAAATGTATACAAAAATAATACAAAACAGTTTCATACTGGCAAAATTTGATATTCTAATACGATACTCATATTTTCATAAATAATAAATATATTTATATAATGTATTTATATAAGGTAATATCACAACCAAGGCGAAAGGAATAATTTATCACAGGTAGTTTAAAGTGTCACCTAGCCCCAGGGTCGTCAATGTCTAGGGTATCTTCTTCTGCTTCTACGGCTTCAACAAATTGTGCGGCGTTGGAGCAGTCCACACCACTGCACACACCACACATCTCGGTGCACGCGAAGCCGGCGCGGCGACATTCACACCCTCTCTCGCAGCCTTTCTTGCAGTTACACCGCACCATCTTCATGAGGCACGGGGGAGCAGGCTCACTCTTCATAGTGACGGGAAGTACACCGTTCTCTCCTGTCTTCCAGCCCCATTCATCAAGTGGCAAATCATTGCCCAGCCATGCTTGGACCTGCAAAATTAATAGTTCATGAGATGAAATTATTCTGTTTTGAGGGTAAAAAAATACTTGATTATTTTTTACTTTTTTAATTACCTGATGATACACGCGGAGACTGTGATATTTCGCGCCATCGGTTGTAGGTGGCAGAGAACGGAAGTCAAAATTGTCGTCAAGCTTCTGTTTGCCTACTGTTTTTTTGTACAGAAGGGGCCGCAACTCATTCAGTGTTTGGCACTTGCCGCCGTACAGAGCAATTATAATTTCCTCTCCAACAGCGGCCACGGTGTCCTCAGTCGCTGTAGTTTTGTACAATTCCTTCATTTTGTTTGACAATTCGGGTTTTGCCATTGCAAGGTCCAGAAGTTTTTTTTTTCCTTTCCCGAAGAAGGCTGAAGTCGTGTCACACCCTGTCATTGCATGCACGAGCAGAATGGCCTCTTTTGCAGTTCCAAGGCGCTGTTGGACTTCTTTGATCATGTGCACCCTATCAGGTTTTCCACTATTTCCTGGGATGGTCATGCTGATAGACGCATCATTTGGCGCTAAGGCTACCAGCAGTGTCAAAACATCAGTATCTGAGGCAAACACTGTCACGTGAGTACTTCTTTCACTAAGATCAACAGCAGTGTTAGCAATTAAGGTGTCAGCATCACTTTCGGCTTGGAAAACTCGGAATCCCTCTTCTCTGAGCATAGGGGATAATAGTTTGATGAGATTGGATTTGTTATGACCGTTGCCTAGAAAATTATCTTTTGCTGTTCTGACTTCCTTATTTAGTGCAATATTTAAGTTGGGTGATGTCTTCATTGCGGCACGCCGTCTTTGCTCGATAGATTTAGTGGAGAGACGTCCATCATACCCATCAAATACGATTGTGCTTGATAGTGGGAACTTTCTCTTCGCATACGAGATGTAGGACTCACACACCTCGGCGTAGTACTTAGCGGGGCGAGGCCAGGGAACCACATGTAGTAAGTAACCCCCGTCAACTACGTACCTATAAAGACAAACAAATTACCAATAATTAGAATCATTTTGACTAGTGTGGGTTGATCGGGCTAGTTCGTGTTTCTCATAGATTTTATATACATTGAGGCACTTACACAGATGCGTTTGGAACCGAGTCGATGCAGGGGGAAACGCGCTCGATTGCTTTTTCAAGAGTGCATTTAGAGGTCTTCCGCAAGGAACCGTTGTCAAAAAGTGAAAGTGGTTGTGGGGCAAGTTCATAAGAGAGAAAATCACTCAGTGGCGTCTCTAGCCTATCTTGAATGCACACGATGCGGTTCAGGAGCTGCATGGGATTTATGACACTTCCATCTCCTCTGGCATTGACCGCAGTCGACATGCTTGATAGAGGTTTCACTTGCTTACTTCTGCGTAGCTTGACATCACAAAAATTATTATCAACCATGGATTTCATGCAGTCGATTCCGATCTCCAGAGCGCTATCGCAGTTGACTGTCTTGTCTGCAATTAAACCAGTTGATAGCGATACAAGTTGATCATGTGGTCTCTCTTGAAACGGGGGATGGGTCTCAAACCATTCAGCAAATTTTC